AAGGAAAAAAAAATTTTTTACATCATGTTTTTGTTGGTTTCATATCATGATTTTGTCGTTTTTATTTCATGCCTCTGTTGTTATATCCTTTTGTTATTATTTATTAATAAATTTATCTATTATTTTCATATACATTTTACTAATTTCCTTTCATCTCTCACACTTCTATTATAGAGAAAGGGCAAATAGCAATATTAAAATATTTCCACTAATTAATTCCCTTTTAATGTGCACGAATTTCATGCACCGGGCTACTAGTTAAAATATAAAGGTAAAAAGTGAAACTTAAAAAAATATTGAAGTATTTTATAGCTTCATGACTGGGAAGGATTTCTTAAATAAGATATGAAACCCAAAACTACCATAAGAAAAAAATTGCCAAAATAAGCAATTCTGCTCATTGAGACACCTCAAAAAAAGTGAAAAGACAGCCCACAAAATGAAAAAAAACCTGCCACACATACCTCACCAAGGATTATACGTGGAATATGGAAAACCAATTTATAGAGGACAATCAGCCCAATAAGCAAAGACATTCATGAAAATAAAGCTATGGGCCCTAGCCAGTTTAGCTCAGTGGATAGAGCGTTGGCCTGCAGACTGAGGGGCCGGGACTCAATTCTGATCAAGGACACATGCCTGGGTGTCAGGCTCAATCCCCAGGAGGGAGCGTGCAGGAGACAGCCAATCAATGATTCTCTCTCATCATTGATGTTTCTATCTTTCTCTCCCTTCCTCTCTGAAATCAATAAAAATATATTAAAAATAAGTACATAAAATAAAGCTATGGACACGATTTTTCCACCTACTAAATTGGTAAAAAAAAAAAATTGTTGGCAAATGGCTCAAAAGCAATTTAACACAATTGGTGGAAGTACAAACTGTTACAAGCACTTTACAGAAGATTGGTATCATCTTAAATATTAAGATGATGCAACAATTCTATTCCTTAGTATACACCCAGGATAACTCACACACTTTTATATCGGGAGACATGAACATGATTATTTGTAGTAACAGTGTGTATTTAAAAAACTGAAAATAACCTCAGTGTTCATCAATAGAAAAACTAAATAAACTATAACATACCCAATTATTAAACTACTATGTAGGAGCAAAAGTGAATGAATGACAACTGCATGCGTTTACATAAATCTTAGAAGGATAATGTTGAGTGAAAACAGCAAGTCACCAATAAATACAGAGGATGATAGTATTTAAATAAAACCCAAACACAAGCACAACTAAATACACTATTTAGTGAACTATGTACCTTTGGTAAATTTACAAAGAAACAGAGGAGGAAAATAAAAATGTAAAAGATAGTGACAAACCCAGAGGAGGAAGCAGGTCCATGGAGGCCCATAATGTACAGGGTAATACTCTTTAACAGCTGATTTCTATTACATTTTGAAAATAAATGTATTTCAATAAACACTGCTTTTATAATTTTTCAAAGTGTGCAAACATTTTTTGGGACACCCTATATATCTATGCATATGTACCAAATATTTTATCATTTTTTTAGTGGGGGGAGTAAAGAGAAAATTACTTCTATTTAAGAAAATGGAAAAAGTCCTGTTTCCATGCCAAATTCTAGAGATGTTTCAGGGAAAAAAAATGCACTAAATCTTAATTTTACCTTATTTTTATGTTTTTGGTTTTCATGATGACTTCTTTTCAGTGTTTAAAACCTAATATAAAAAAAAACAATAATTTTATGCATATTACATATATCATAATACTCGTAATTTTTCTCATGATCCAATAATATTCATCCTAGTAATCATCTAATGTTGACTGTAAGAGAAACTGAAAAACAAATTTTATATGCCATGTTCCCATACATATTTCATACTAATAAACAAATAAATATTTGGTATGACTTCTAATTCTAGAGTAACCCTTCAGATTTTACAACCTAAATATATCTAGAAACTAGAGGCCTGGTGCATGAAATTCATGCATGGGGGGAGGGGGGGGAAGGGTGAGGTCCCTCAGCCTGGCCTGCACCCTCTCCAATCCAGGATTCCTCTCACAATCTAGAACAGTGGGCCGGATCCGGCCCGCGGGCCATAGTTTGCATACGGCTGATCTAGAACCACTGGCTCCTAACCATTCCCCTGCCTGCCTGCCTGATGCCCCTAACTGCTCCCCTGCCAGCCTGATCCCCCTAACTGCTCTCCCCACCTGGCCTGATCCCCCTAACTGCCTATCTGCTCTCCCCTCCTGGCCTGATTCCCCTGCCTATCTGCTCTCCCTTCCTCTCCGCGCCCTTTGGACCCCAGGCACAGGCATGCTGAGAGCTCTTTGCTGCAGCCCCATCCCTGCTCCCGGTCCTGATTGGTTGTTACGTGATGGCATCCCAGAGAATTTGCATATTCCTCTATTATTAGTATAGATAAGCACTTTTGAGTTTCTAACATTTGCATGTGTTCAAAACAACTATCACAATATGGTATGGCTTAGTTTTAAAATATTCTTTTATTTTCACTTATATGTCAATTTAATTTTTGAGACTTGCTCCAAATAACATATGGGAAATGATAGAATATAAATGACTATTACTTTTCAATTATCCTTTCTCACAGACTGAAAGAATATTTAAAGAAAAGGTTTGAAAGAGCTAGAATATTCTGTAATGTGACTCTACAATATTTATCAACCAATCAATAACTTTCCTTCCAAGAGTGTAATAGGAATACCTTTCTCCTATTTGCTGTTTCCTTTTTTAGCTTAGCTATTAACATTTCTAACGGCATTCAAGGTTCTAAGAATACTTGAATTTATACCAGCAATGGGTGTAAATTTTCCTTTAAGCTACAAGGAAAAATATAAAAATGAATAATAATATTCTAAGCTGAAGTAAATTCTTAGATTATCAGTCTTAATATATGCTATTTGCTAAGCTAGGAGGCATGTTCCTTCAAAAACAATAGCTTTTCAAATTCTCACCCTTAATTCAAACAAATTCTTTAAAAAATAACAACAAAAGATGACTAAACTTGTACTTACTTTAACCAAAAGTTCCTGTGTTTCAGCAGTCAGAGGAGCATGGGAAAACTTGCAGCCCTCGCCTTGATAACATTTTGCTCCTGTGTGATAAAACTTGCAAGGATATTCATGTATCCCAAATGTTAAGGAAGAGAACAATCTTAATCCAACTAAAACAATTTGTGATAACTTTGATATATAAGTAAGAGGTGTGGCTCTAGCCCAGGGGTGGGCAAACTTTTTGACCCGAGGGCCACAATGGGTTCTTAAACTGGACCGGAGGGCCGGAACAAAAGCATGGATGGAGTGTTTGTGTGAACTAATACATGTTAACACTGCTGCTGGTGAAGGAGCAGAGGGGAGAGCAACAGAACCCTCCACTCTTTCGGCTCCGCGGGCCAGAAAGAACAGCCAAATGGGCCGAATCCGGCCTGTGGGCCGTAGTTTGTCCACAGCTGCTTCTAGCCCGTTAGCTCAATTGGTTAGAGCAGTGGTTCTCAACCTTGGCTGCACATTAGAATCACCTGGGAATCTTTTGAAAATCCTGATTTCTTGGCCTCATCCTCCAGAAATTCTGTTTCTTTGTTATGGGGTGGGGCCACAAAATTAGTAGCAAAGAAACAGAATTTCTGGAGGATGAGGCCCAGAAATCAGGATTTTAAAAAGATTCCCAGGTGATTCTAATGTGCAGCCAAGGTTGAGAACCACTGGGTTAGAGCATCAGTCTGATGCTCTAGGTTACGTGTCTGATCCCCAGAGCATATACAAGCATCAGCCAGTGAATGCACAAATAAATGGAACAACAAACCGATGTTTCTCTCTTTTCTCACTCTCTTCTTCCCTCTCTCTTTAAAATCCTATATAATAAAGAGGTAATATGCAAATTGACCCTCACACCTTCACAAGATGGCTGCCTACGACCAGGCCGGCAGGGGAGTTAGTGAGGGATGACCAAACGACTGAACAAGCAGGCTGCACAGGGCGACCAGACTGGCAGGGAAATTAGTGAGGGTTAGCTTCAAATCAAGGCAAAGTTAACCCCTACAGAATACAAAATACACAGAAAACAAGCATTCCCAAGTAATGCAGTCCTGCCTCTGTTAGATTCAATGAGTGAATGTCAGAGCAGAAATTCTGACAAAGTCTTTCTGGACTTAACCAGGTCTCACAAACATACTATACTTCATGTGAGAGACTTTCTAAGGGATCCCTCTTTTCTTACGTGAAATAAAAAATCTATATACAACTGAATCACTTCAATAGTGAGTTGGGCTTGGATAATAAAGTATGGCTTGTCTTTGCCATAGCTAAGACACTGGTTCCATTCAAAACTGTACATATTTTAAATGTTCACGTAAGTGCTTATGAAGAGTAAAGTTATATCTTGTGATAAAGGATATTATGCAAATACAGACAGTTTTCAGCTTTGGTACAATATCCTTGTACATAAAATTTACACATTTCCTTTTTCTTCTCTATCTCTGCATCATGATCAAATTTACATTCGTCTCCCTGGGCCAAAAGAAGAAACGAAAAAATTATTTTTCACAGTTAACTCATTACAATTCCTACTAAACTTTAGATAAACAAATAATTCCAGAAAAAAATAGTCTTAGAAGCTATATGGTTCAATTCTTAGAGTTATCATATTTATCTACTTAAAATTTTAAGGCCTAAAAATCTGTAATACAAAACATTTTTAAAAAATTATCTTTCTTAAACTTAAAAAAGTATTTTAGTAAAATTTTCTAAGTGAACATTTTCCAGGAGGAAATAGGTATGCTTTTAGAGTGTTTAATGGAAATAGGAGTCAATCTTAGTACATTTTTGCTACACCTTCCATTTTAGTATGTTTTTGCTTATACATTTTTCGTACCTTAATACATTTCCTTTCAAGGAAATATTTACAAACTTGCTTTCCCTTTCGCTCCACTGTATGTTGGTTGATGAACCCCTGACTCATTTGCACGTGTTGCTGATTCTCTTTAGGTTTATCATCCTTTGAAAACAAAAACAAAAAACTAAATGTGAGAAATGGAAAATGAAATCTTTTATTTCATTGCACAAATTATTTTAAAACACATACAAAACATTAAAAAGTGATTTTTCTAAACTGACCTTCACATATAAGATCTGAACTTTTGTACACCAGTTGAAAAGTGAATGTTTTGCCAGTTTCAACAGCATTCTATCATTGAACTTTAGTATTTATACAATTTGAATATTTTATTGTACTTTGCCCTTACTTTTTTAAATGAATAAAAAAAATAGAAGTGCTACTACTTGTGATAGAGAGAGAAATGTAAGAGCAAGGCTCTTTATTTTTATTTTTTAAAATATTTTTTATTGATTTCAGAGAGGAAGGGAGAGGGAGAAATAGAAACATCAATGATGAAAAATAATCATTGATCAGCTGCCTCCTGCACGCCCCCTAACTGGGACCGAGCCCATAACCTGGGCATGTGCCCTGATAAGGAATCAAACATTGTGCTCCTGGTTCATAGGTCGATGCTCAACCACTGAGCCATATCAGCCAGGCAAGAACAAGGCTCTTTAGAACAACGGAGACAAAACTGGAAATCATAAAAACTAAAAGCAGAATAATGTTTCATTTCAATGAGATGCTCTCTGGGTGTGAGCTAAGTATACCAACCAGCCCAAATGAACAAATGTAGCCCAACCTGAGTGGATCATTTGGTTAAGTGTTGACCTGTGCACCAAAAGGTGTGAGATCAAGGCACATACCTGGGTTGAGAGTTTGATCGCCAGTCAGGGAGCATAAGGATTGCAACCAATTGGTTGATATTTCTCTCTCTCCATTCCTCTCTAAGCATGTCCTCAGGTGAGGATAAAAAAAAATAACAAAAAACAAATGTAACCAGAACTAGAACTATCCCCTCAAAGATGGTGATAAAGGCATAAAAACAAAAGGGGATCTCATAATACATTTTAGCTCTCTAGAAGCATAAACCACTGCTAGTGTGTTAACTTGTAATACAGCTTCTAGCTTCTGCACATCAAATTTCTTAATAGTTTGAGAAATACAAAGAAGGGAGCTGGCTGTAAGTTTATATGTCTGCTTCATAATAATGTCAATTTCCACTGAGCACTATCAATTAATTGTCTTATAAATACGTCAATTTAAATCTTTGGTTCTCTTATTAAATTGTAGCATATATACTTAGATTTGTTTCTCATATAGAAAAGCTAATAGCTTTGGCTGAATAACCTTTTAAGTCAATATAAACCAAATAAAAGGAAATACTCAGGGGGAGGGTCAAAACACAAAGTGCCAGCACTGGCCTGGCCCTGGGTGGCCATGACAGTCACCTGAAACCTCAGGGCCTGATTCCTCATTTGTAAAATATGGGGGCGGAGCAAGAATGTATATAAATATACAATTCAGTATTTCTAGTAATTTAGCACATGTCCTTTTGGACAAACCTGATAAAAATGGTTACCACCAATTTAGAAGCCCTCAGAAAGGCCAGGTCCAGAGTCAATTATTGAACCACACTGATTACATGTACAGAACTTCTAAAAGTAAAATCAAACTAAGAGGAGGGTAGAGGTGGGTGATAAGGCCAATGCTTTTTTTTTTTCCCCAGAGGGAGTCTAGACCCAGTAGACCAGGGACTGCAACAGGAGAAACTTTGTAAGACTCTGTGGCCTCTGAAATATGCTCATGATTATTGTATTTTCTCCCCATTACCCATCTGTCACTCCATATACACTGACTGCACAACACTCAAAAATCAAGTCAATGTAAACCAAATGAAGGGAATACTGAGGTGCATATATGCGTGGCAACAGTGCAGCATGAGGGCTTAAAGGGGATGCTGGCAGCTCCTGTGTAAGTGAGAACGTGAAGCCCACTGCTGTCGGAGATTTCACTACTGATAACCCTCATTTTGTTCAATG